TGGCAGAGACATGCCAGGATGTAACCCAAAGCAACAACTTCCCATCAAAAATGTGTACCATACATCAATTATTCAGTCCAACTTTAAACACAGCGCCAGCATTGAAAGTGTAGCTTTGCATACAAATGAGCCACCATTGTTATTTTTTGTGACCTTATGGCTATGTAATTATGTGAGTATGAGGACTACAGCCTCATTATTTGGAGACGTGTGCTCATACAGACCGATGACAAATCCCCTCACTGTCGTGGGTCAAGCATTCAGGTTTCTCCTTTTATTTGTCATGTGTCAGTATTAATATGGGGACACCTGAACTTTACAGCAATATGTGATTGTTGAACATGCACCTGCAAGACTGTGGGCATTAATAAATTGCTCTACAAGTCTTCTGGGAAGGCTTTTCATCACATTTTGGAACCTGGCTTTTGAGATGTATTTCCATTCAGCCACAAGGATATTAGGGAGGTTGGGCACTGATGTTTTTTGTGTAGGTGTTCCAATTCATCCCAAAAGTGTTGGATGGGGTTTAGATCAGGTCTCTGTGGAGGCCAGTCAAGTTCATCCTCAAAAGAAATTCAAAACAAACTGTTGCCACAGAGCTTATCTAGAATAACAATGCATGCTATAGTATTAAAGGCCCCTACAACTGTTATCACATTTTGATTCAAGTATTGCCATGTGACATCACACAAAGATTGTGCATGTGGGTCTACCACTGTAATGGCCTTTTTACTCAGGAGTGCAGCAGCCTCCTTTGACAAAATCTACATCCTCACCGGCTCTGTGAGAGATGCCCCTTTGACCCCTGAGGGTGCTGGAGTCTGGCAGCAGAACTGGAACCTATAACCCTGGGCCATCCCATGTATCCCATTTGGGTCTTGGCATTGTTTCTCTGGGGTTGGCATGGTGTTGATTGCTCCATTCTGGGTTGATGCCAACTGCAGCAACCGGGATGTGTTGCCAGAGTGGTAGTGCAAAGTTAAACTGGGTCCCAAAGTTAATGCTTCTTGAACCACTGGCCTGTGGTTCATTGCCCCTACCGTGAGAGAGCCCGTGCCTCTGAGGACCTTCTTAGTTGTTTCTTGCAGTCTTATGCCCTTTCAGTGTCTAGCCCAAACAACTGGCCTGCACAGAAAGGCACCTGCCAATATTGGCCATTCTCCCTGTGTTGAAACTGAGAATTTGAGGCCCATGAGCATCAGCACCCTCCTCCTCCAAATCCTTCAGTGTCCTCCAAAGGCACAGATGGGGGAGTTATCCAAATTTGTGCTAAGTATTGGTTAATGCAGCTTTAATTTTTAAACCTTAAACACAGCAAGACACTCTAGCTCAGACCAAAAATGCACTTAACTATATAGATAAAATACAATATGTGCCCCCACACTTTTGGCCATGTACTGTAGTGATGTGAGTAGTACAGTGTAATCAAGGGAGGCCTGCCAAAACAAATGACATCACAGTGAAAATGACTTGATCAGTGAGTGAGTTCTTTGTTATTAGGATGATTTAATTAGTCTTTGCTCACAGAATGTTCAGTGATCTGTATATATTTGCTTATGCTTTGAATAGTACTGCATATGGACCTGGCTTTTGTGTTTATGTATTTGTCCATATGAATGTGTGTGGGGGGGAGTAGGTATTGACAGATGGCCTGCTCTCTGTGAACAGAGAAGAGCTGCTTAATCAAGAGAGAGAGGTAGAGAGTTGGCACTGGCCTGAATTGCTCTGCCTCCATTAGATAGGGAGGCATATTTACTTGGTTACAGTTTTCCTCCAGGAGTGTTCCATCACACTACTAATCGGTGTCCACTTTGTGCCGATGCTGCTTTGCTTACAAAGATTTGAGTCTTCCTCTCTACGTTTCTCTCTCTGTGCTTTGTTGTTTCCATTCTTCCTCCTGACAGTGACAGGTGGTGGAGCTGCCTTCCATGCCAGTGGCTCTCTCCCCTCCTCCTTTCTCTTCTCCTTGTCTTTTCCTGTGCCCCATCAAACAGAGTGCCAAGGTACTCGTCATGAATTTCCCGTTCCAGGGTCTGATCCAGTACCACTTGGCCACATGAGATGATGTGAATTTTTTAAAATGTCTGAAATTCTTTGGAGGGCAGGAATTTAGTTCAGGGTTGAGGATGTAGGATAGAGGGCTCTCATACATACACACAGACAATATGAGGTTCAAAGTTAGCAGGTAGGTTAGGTTATCTGGTGGAACTAATATGTTTTTATATTGATTCCATCACCACTGTTTATGGCTTCAGAGTCTCAGTTCCAGTTGAAATACATCTTGATTGCCTTTGCAGATCTATAAGCCTGCATTGTGCAGAAATAATGCAATGGAAAGTTATAGTTTAGCAGTTAAGCCAACCTTTAAATAAAATGTTACAAATTTACTCTGTAACAGTGTTTACAGTTAAGTCAAGTAACAAGCTCCTGAGCTTCAAATATAGATTTAATTTTCTGGTATTGCCCCATAAACACAGAACAATAATGCTTTTGTAACCCACCTATACATAATATTTTCACCCAGGTTACACCTTGTTGACACATTCTTGGTACTGTAGATTTCATTTGAAGACTGCAGTCACGGTCTGTGCTTCACTACCACAAACCCATCTGGATAATAGAAGAAAATGTTTGTTTATATCTTCTGATTCTATACTGGGTCTACATTTAATCGACAGAGAGCATGGCTTTCGCTGGTTTAACCCTGTAGAGTCTGGCCTCAGGTTTCTGTCTTTAGTAGAAGAACAGTCTGTAGCAATTGTCTAACTTTAGGAAGTGTCTTTTTATTATTTTCTTTGACAAATCTATGATTCTACACATATGCTCGCCCCTAAAATTATAGTGAAGACATTCAAAAGTATCAAAAGGCCGTAAAACCAAAAAACACAAATCCTGTTCCTCTAGAAAATTCCATATCAAGTAAAAACAGATGTGATGTGGTGACCAGAGAAAAATATATCCTGTATGTATCCAACTTTTGAGTTACTTTGAGGGAAGTTTAAAGCATCATGAACAGACATTTTGTGTGCTTTTTACCACTGGAATGCAATGAAATATTTCCACCTTCAAGTTATGGTGAATGTATAAGCAGTTTCCAGAAAACAACATTAGCATTTATTTGAAGTTGTGTTTCTGGCTACTTTGTTCTTCAACTATCAAGAGAAATATGTGTCTTTAGAAATTCACTATGCTCACCTGGCAGTCACTAACTTCTCTGCTGGTTGGTGCTGGGTTTTATTTCTGGCCATGAATACTTCCTTAATATAATCTCCTCAGTTGGCTTCCATATAATTTTGTGTTGAGATTTTGATTGATGCTTTTATTAATCTGAAAGAAACACAAAGGGAAATGTAATCCTACTAATACTCAGTTACATCCAGAACAAGCTTGCCATGACTCATTTTACACCCATGAATCACCTTCAGTCCAATTTTAATCTTGCTGACAGACACAGGAAGAGCAAGTGAGTACAGAAATTGTCTCTAGAAGTTCCAGGCTGCTGTTTCCGCTGCAGTCACTCAGGTTAACTGATCCTCTGTGACAGGAAGCCCGGATGGGATGTTGGTGGTGTCTTTTAGAAGGGTCAAGAGTTTTTAGAGTCCCATTTTCACTGCTTGGTACCTGCTCAACTTGACTCTACCTGCCTTATTTGTTCTTCCATCAGCCAAATGTTGGGGATAGTGCCTGGTACTATTTTTGGTATCACCTCTGTCAATATTCCAAGTAAGCTGAGGTGATACCAGGCTACCGACTGGTCAGAGAACCTGTTGTGGAAAAATATCTTTTAAAGCTCAGTGAGTGTAAAATAAATACTTAACATCAGTTCTGAAAGTTATTACATATTTATTCCTGCAGGAAGGAGGTTTCTCTGAACAGAGTGTCTAATACAGTCTGTTACAGGGAAGCTCAGTGGACAGAGTGTGTGAGTCCTTCTTATACTCAGCCTACAACAAAGAAGACAGATGCTCAAACAGATAAGGGAAACAGGATACAATTCACATCAGGATACCAGCCCTTTGGTCCCAGGTCACATCTGGTTTGGCAACCAAAAGGCATACAAAGGTTTACGACCATACAATAAATGGTCTGGGGGTCACAACCACAAAAATGACTGCATACAATGACATGAAAGTATCAGCTAAAGAACTTAAGGGGTGCTATTATAAAAATTGCCACCACAAAACTCATCACTACTATGTGGCCATCTTGCCACAGCTTAACCCAGATGCTTATATGTGATGACACCAATCTCTCTCTCGAGTGTTATAGAAGGTAAAATGTATTGTGACTGATTGTGATAATATGAGCACAATGCCTACAGCTATGCCTGCTAAGCAGAGCTAGCTAGCTGGCTGGTCAGCAGGTCATCACATCCCCAACAACGCCAGAGCAGAGTTCTAAACATTACTTGGATAGATTGACCACATATTTGAAAACTAGGTGGTTATTTTCCCACCTAAAAAAATAAAGACAGTGGCATAATAATAATAATAATAATAATAACATTGTAACAGCTTTGAGCCTGCCCTTTCAGTACCATGGGACAATGACGGCAGTTTCATGTAGCATCGCTGTGACAGTCAACTACACTGAGGGGGGACTAACAAAGCATCTGGTACCAAAGGTGAGCAGAGTTGAGTAGAGTTGAGATGAGCTGGTACCAGGTGGTGGAAAAGATACCAAAGTCAATCAGGACATGCCTTGAGTCAAGCTGAGCAGCCGAAAAGATACCAAAGTCAATCAGGACATCAAGTTGAGCAGCTCGCTTGCCATTGGCACTTATGTCCTTTCAAAAGCTAAGCTCCAGCAAAACGGCAGGGACTTAAAAATCTTGTTCATGGTCAGATTATTAATTTGTTGATGGCATGTAAAGAATCTTGTTTAATGTGCCTTAGCTTTGTGGCATTCCACACTTATTGAGCTGTGACTGGATTTCCTCTGTGCTCCATCCAAGTGTTTTATTACAGCAATGCGTGTGTGTATGTGTGTTTGTTTCCCAGGACCTGTCCATTCTGCAGTGTGATGTGTGTATCCTGGTCTTCTCAGTGACTGACAGGAGAAGTTTCCACCGTGCCGCCCAGCTTCGCCTCCTCCTCAGGGAGTCCCTGCCACACACACCAATTATCCTGGTGGGCAACAAGAGCGACCTTGTCCGCTCTCGTGAAATCAGCTCAGAGGGTAGGTAGAGAGAGGGACACTGCTCTGTAATGTGAGTCTCACAGAGATGTAACTGGTCACTTGTCAAACCACTCTCCTGAAGAGTGACTGTCAAATCATAGCTTAGCAACCATGCCATGTCTAAACCGCTTTGGATTTCTACACATGAAGTATGTGCATTAGGGACATATTAAGGAGAACTGCTTACCGGATCACCAGATGACACCCAATTCAGTTCTATTAACAGGCATCCCATCCCACAAAAACTCATTTGTTTAAATTTAAAATAGTTTAAGTCACCTTCTCTATCAAATGCTCATGAACGAATGACTGTTAAACTCACCTGAACAATCATTAGGTCACCATGGACAATAGAAAAACCACTGCTGCAAACAGTACAGCAAGCAAGTTTATTGTTATTTTTAAGTGCTACTAAGCGGGGTACTCTGGGGTGACGCACCTGCCCATTGTTGTTTAGTTTAGTTTTTGTTTTTTTTGTTGATGACTCTACCATAGTACTGCAGGACACTCAAGTGAACTGATGGAGAGAGAGGTATTGAATGTAAAGACTGTCCACCAAGAAAAGTAGCTCACTTAGTGCAAAAAGAGATGAATCTGGATGCTTCTCTATCACTCTCCCTCTCTCTCTTTTGCTTGTTCTAAGAAAATTGATTTCTGGGATATTGTGTATGATTTCATCATGGAGTTGCTATCAGTATGCAGCAGACTCCTGAAATTCGGGGAGGGGTGAGATGTCTGTATTGAAATTACTCAGTGGCATAAACTGAATAATAAAATTCTTCATGCTTCAGAATTGCAGCCATAAAAATTTCCTGTAACTTCTCCATGCTTCGGTGTTTTTGGGCCCACAGAGTATGTAGATTGCAGTAACGCCAAGCCAGCTGACCTCCAGTTGGAAGTTGCATGAATGGCATAAAATAAACATTTCCTAGTGTTTTTTCTGTTCTTTTCAAATGATATTAGACCCAAATTCTGATAATAAAACAGTCAGATTCCAAGTTTTGTGACACTGAAAAATACAGTACATTCAACATTTTACCCCCCGCTCCTATTTCAGCCTGTGCATGCTTTTCTGGCCAGTGCATATCATGTGATGAACATGTAAGGTGTAGCAATGCAGTTTGGTCACTACACCAAAATTGTTTCAGAGCTCAGCACTATCCTGGGGAGTGGTGTGTATGGGGATGTAGTAAGAGATACAATATATTCAGTATTGTTTAAGTATAGAAGGTGGTCTTACTTAGCTTATCCAAAACTAATACGCAAAAAACAGTGTGAATATTTGCTCCAACATAAGCTGCAAATGTTTGTCACGTGTGTGACTAACTAGCTTAACCTAACCTGAAGTAATTTCAAAGTACTTTCAAACTACATTTCTGGGGTCACAGGTTATTCTGTAAGCGACATCAGCGACAATATGTCTGCTGTGTAGCTTTTCCCACTGTGTCAAAGATGGTCTGTGATACTATGTTAGAAGTCCTGTCCTGCTCTTTATTGCATTTGGAGAAGACTTTATCAACCCTAGCCAAATCCGCTGCCTGTGATTGCGTTACACGTGCAAAACATTTGAGCTATCTTTGATCTGCAAAATCAATTTCTTCACTGTTTCCAACATCCATGCAGAAATGCTCTGTTGGTAAACTCATTTTGGGAGGCAAATACTATCATATGTTACTGTTGTAAGGGGTGGAAGTATATAGTCCTCAACAGCTATTTACCACATTGAACCACAGTAGGTGTCATTAGACTTTTTGACAGTGATGAATAAAAAGAAACTATAATGTTTAAGAAAAGAAATCTACAAATAGTCCTGAACTCTGTATAAATTGAAAACATAATTGATTCTTCTTCTGTTTTAGTTTATTTGCAGACAAGTGTCAACATGAATTGACTTCTATTTTTTTTTTACAAAAAGCTAGTTGAAAATAGAACTGTGTCCCCCTTTTTATAGTCTGTGAATTGTTGCAGTGGCGTGGCCAATCACTGCCATCATGAAACAAAACAGATGGCATTTTTAACTATGCTAGTAGTGGGGCTCCTGGGATGGGAATAGATAAGTTTCCATCCACATGTAGCATGCAAGCAACACTTTCTCCATTTCTATTATAATTTATATCAATTTGCATAGGCATTTTGTAGAAATATCCTGGTAATTACACCTAAACACCAGCTAGTTTTTAGTTTTTAGGATGTTACGAAACAATTTTCCAGGAAATTAGCTGGAAAATATGTAACCTGTAAAAGAAAGTGTTACCAATTTAAGCACATAGGTTTACTTTGATACACATTGTGTAAATCAGCCACTTGTCATATAATAAACTAAATGAATGAATAAACTGTAGATTTAGATCATCTTGGCAAAGACATAAATGCTTTGATTTGATTTGATTTGATTTATTCTTTCAAGCATATAAAACAGTTGATATAACAACACACATTTTTACACACAATCCAATAACAATTTTCTTATACCTAGTACATGCTTGAATGGAGTAGGAAGAAGTCAGACTGCTCCTTTCTGCAGTTAGACAAATGAATATCTCTTAACAATAAATGGGTACATTTATGTAGGTGGGAAAAGTAGATACAAACTTATCCACATTGAAAAGCTGCAAAGCTGTAACTGCTGCCAAAGTTGCCTTTATTAAATATTGATAGGGATGATTAATTAATGCAGTTATACTTACAGTAATGCAGTTGGTTATTTTGTAGTTTACGCTGTATTTCTATTTAATTTAGATGTATGATTAGTATAGGTGTGTGTATTTTTTGGTTGATTGCTAAGGAATTTCATCCACTGTTATGCAAAGTATAATAATATTGTAATACTATAACATATAAAAAATATATAAGGCGTTGAATATTTTAGATTGTATTGGGGCTGCTTTGGTGCAGTGATTGCACAATGAATAAATCCAGTGTGTATAAGAGCTTATGTTACTCTAATATTGCTATGCAGCAAGCCTTACAGACTTTTTATTTTTTCAGGTTTTGGCAAAACAAATTCACTGAAGCAGAAACACGCAGTGCTACACTGAATCAATTTAGTGATGCTTAAAAATCCACTGAATACAGATCAGACCATACACAAGTTATAATCTGACTGCATTTTAAGAGTGAATTTTTATGGAGTACGGACTGGCCATCCTGTTGTTGTTCCTCGGTGTTTAAAACAGGAACTGGTGCAGAGTGACTGTGAAATGTTGAAATGAGGAAAAAGGTGATGGCAGAGTTTGACCTTAATTTAAATTCACATTAACTTTGTGTTCATTCTGTGTCATTTTGACTATAATGACACCTTTATATAATATCTATATTCATATAATGTCTACTTGCAGTATGTGTTTGGTATCTGAATGTATCCACTGTCATATCTGTCTAACATAAACACTGTTTTGGTGCTAACAAGTCCTCCAATCTATACGACCCATATGGTTGTTTGTCTCTTATTCTCTCTCATACCACTTATACAGGTGTCTCATTAAATTCAGTTCAATTCAAATTTTCTTTGTATAGCGCCAAATCACAACAAAAGTCATTACAAAAGGACACTTTACAGTACAGTACAGTGCAGTGCAGCTCCCGTACCAAACTGTCGCTCTGTAGACGTTTGCGAGCAGCTGAGAGGAGAGACCAGCACGTTTCAGCTTCCTGAGGAAGAAGAGCCTTTGCTGAGCTTTCTTCACCAGGTAGGATGTGTTCGGATACCAGGTCAGGTCAGATGTGATGTGGATGCCCAGGAACTTGATGTTATCCACTTGCTCCACCACCTCCCCGTGTATGAGAAGAGGAGCATATTTTGTCTTCCTGGACCTCCTATAATCCACAATGACTTCCTTAGTCTTGTTGGTTTTCATGACAAGATTGTTATCTGAACACCACCTTGTCAGGTGCTGGATCTCCTCTCTGTAGTGAGTCTCATCATTGTCTGAGATGAGACCCACTACGGTGGTGTCGTCTGTGAACTGTGTTTGTGGAGTGAAAGGAGAGGAGAGGAGAGGAGAGGACAGAAACTCAGAGCATCAGTTTTTTTTTTTATCAAGGATGCTCCTTCTAACTAATTTTTACGTTTGTATTCGCCATACATCTACAACTGCCTGTGTGCACAAAGACACAGCAAACACACAAACAAGCAGACGCACACCCCTCACCTCTCTCGCTCTCTTCTCACTGCCTGATGTTAGCGAGCCTTTGTCACAGTGAGGATTGTGACAGTGCAAGAGACAGTGAGTGACAGGGAAGGCAAATGTAGGAGAAGAGTGTGTGAAGAAATAGGAGGCACAGTTTGAAGAGAAGTGTACATATGCATTGTGTGAAGGTGTGGTTGTGGATGTATTCTGGGGAAATCAGGGCTTATCCATGGAGGAACCACTTGGAGTTTTTAGACCTTCACAATAATATTTTTACAAAAGGAGACTGTATGGCTCGTTTGACACTTGTGCATTGGCTTTTCCATAAACATCACTGGGTTGATGTTAAGCACTTTTGGAATATGTCCGTCTGTCCATCCGTCCCCCCATATCTTTCCTTGCCAAGATGAAAACGTTATTCAGTACCTCTCTTATGAAGGCTGTTCCTGGCCTGCATTTTGTCAGATTTTGCCTTTTTGTGGCCATGCAGAAATCACTAAATTACCTTCGAAAGGTACCACTACTGGTCATAAAAGTAAAATGTGTCATTTGTAATCTGTAGGAAATGTCAGGGGGCAGAGGTGAACTTTCAGATGTGATTGCAGCTATACCGGGCTCTTATCGGTGATGTTTGGCTCTCTTTTTTGGCTTTCTGACTGTATGAGTGAGAGCCACTCACACACATACATTAAATAAACCAAAGAAGCTAGACTAGCCAAGTGTCATAAAGCAGTGAAGTAAATTAGTTCCTGACAGTTTCCTCAGGTGGTAGTTGTTTATGCCAGGCCTTGGATGTAGGGTTATTTTCAGGCATGTATTGGCATGGGCTGAGACTGAAAGAATACAATCAGTTCTCACAAGGACATAGGAATAGAAAAGTGTGCATGAGCATCTGTGCTTATTGTATACTGTAGGAATGTAGAAACCACAGTCTATGGTCAAATTGTGTTAACTTTGCTTTGTTGTGCAAGTTCAGCAGAGGCAGTAAGTGTAACATTTGTTTTGGTCACAGCTTTGGTCTATACTTAATGAGACCAGTGGAAGAAAGAAGGCAATGAATGAATAATGAGAGATTCCTTCACTCGGCACATTCTCTCTTCATAACAAAACAACAACAACAACGAATAAATAAATAAATATAAAGAGAACAGGAGCATCACTATGGTCAGCAATGTGGAAATGCTCCAGCCTTGTTCCCGTGGCACCTGACAGGGATGTTCTCATGTTCTCTCTGGGCAGACTACATGTATTTTTAATATGTGTGTCTGATAGAGGAAGCTGACTGCCCTGCTGGCTAGCTAGCATTAACGAACCTGAGGCCTGGATAAGAGTGCTGATCTCAGGAAGTCTATTTATGGCCTGTACAGTGTCACATTTATTGTGCTATGTCTCACCTTCTCTCCTTGCTGATCTCTCTCTCCATCTTTAACACACACAGTGATGCATGCGCTGGGAACGTACCCGGTTTCTCATTTAAAAAGGGAAACGTGCTCATCAGTGGGTGGGGTATGCTGTAAAAAAATCCAATTCCAGGCTCTTTATTTATTATTCAGTCAGTGGTGTGGCCCTGCTCCTCAGAGCCTTGGTTAATATGCATTCTGGCTCAATTTGCTTATTTGGCACTTCTTCAGTCTGTCTCTCTCCACTTAACTTCACCTGCCATCTTGTGTGTCATCTCCTTTCAGCAATAATTTCTTCTTTTTTGTATAACTCACGTTTCTTCTTATTCAGCTTAATACTGCTTTCACTTTAGTCCCTGTCTGTCTCTTTCTCCAAGCCTTGTTGTTTTCCTCTCTGTCAGCACACCGGCCATCGCTGTGATCACCTTTGGGCGACCTCTGTCAACACCTCCTCACTGTCTTTCCTTTCCTGTTCTATCCTCTGTTCTCAATTTCAATTTCCTAAATGGCTTTTAACAAGTTACAAAGTTGAATTCAGTTCAACCAGCTGTCATAGGTATTAGGATAAGCTGTACTGATTTGGTCTGTGATTTCTCTTTTTTTCCTCTTACTCTTACTTCACCCACTATTGGGTGGCACTACTGTGGAACAACAGCTGTTGTGCAGATGGATTAAAACACCCAGGTCAAATCTGGCTCTGTTTTTAGTTGCACTTATCTAATAATGTATTTTGTGTGTAAATGCAGTCACACAAAATTCTGATTTACAGGGACCACTGATTAGCAGTGACCAGAGTTCAGAATATTGATACAGATTTAACTAGAATCAATGAGGCATGAGTAAAACATTTTCAGGTACAGTGCCCTATGAATCAGTTTTTCCATAGCTTTCAGCTGTACCACACAGAGCTTCATCAGCTCATTTGCTCAGCCCATTGCCATAAGATCCCTCTCCATGTCAAACTTCAGAAATGATGTTATTTTTCAACCTTTTTTCTGCAGGTTGTTTGGTGAAGCACTTGGCCTCAAACCCATTTCCTGGTCTTTTCCAGATCTTTCAGCACCATTGCACAGAACATACTTGATCAACAGATAAAGTGTGCTTAGTTGAGATGGACTGGGTAACACGTAAGCTGTTATGATCAGATATAGCACTTTTAATCATCTCTGCCCTTGAAAAGAGCGATATGCTATTAGAGCTTGATGTTTTTTATTAGAGAGTGCAACCTCACAGCTGGTGAGACAGGTTTTAAACTACCACTTTACCTGGAAATAAAACAGAGGTAAACATACTGTACCCAAACAATCCACTGTCATCATCGATTAGAGTTTGGGTAATTATTTAAATGCTTGTTTTTGTCTCGAATTTTCCGACAGAACAGAACAAAATAGTTCATTTATATCTGACAGTTTTTCTGATGCCCATGCAAAATTCTTGCAACCTCCTCCTGCTGCCAGCACTTGGCAGTCATTTGAAGTTCATGCATTGGAAGTTTAAATGGCTATTATGAATATCAGTACTAAGCTTTACAAGCCTTTTCTGCACACAGCTGCTCATGAGCTCTCAGACGGACTCTAAGCAGAGCGGGGGGGGAAAATAAACAATGAAGTATAGTTGACAAAATGAGCTGACAACGAAGCCCATTTGTTGCCAAATGATTCGTATCTGTCAGTTTTTCTTATCATCTTGGATTGTTTGACCAGAGACGCTTTTAGCTGAGATGCTGAGCTTTGTCAACAACACATTTAGTCACCTGTCCTTATCCAGGAGAGTCACAATGAGATAAAAAACATTTTCCTATTAGAGCTACAGCCAAGAGATTTGAGCTTATACAACTCAGTTATAGTGGCAATGGTAAATGGTAAAAATGGTAAATGGACTGTATTTTATATAGCGCTTTCTCACAGTGTGTTGCACTGGCCAAAGCACTTTACAGAAGATCATACACCATTCACCCATTAACTCCAGCCTGCCATTTCTCTCCCTCTCTCTCTCTAGCTGTTTTTTATTCACTCATGGCTGCTGAAAAGACAAATCTACTAAAGGGATACGGTGAATGTTCATTTTAGAAACATCACAATATAATTAAGGGTAATTGGTTTACATGAATTTTGAATGTAATATTTAAAAGCAGATGAAAATTGGCATTTAAAATATAATACAGGTAGTTGGATGGAGCTACTGTATATCCGTTGTCACAGACAGGGATGCAAAAATTTGGTCATATGACAGGTTTTAGAATAGGACATCAGAAACAGTTTTTAGTTACTCAGTGATTATGGAGATGGATCATGCAAGCTCAGAAACTGTTAGGATTGGATAGTGCTGTTAGACGTCCTGCTCTGTGTTGGCTTAAAAGTATGTTTTTGACCTTTGAACACAAAAACAATTCAAAACCAAGGTTAACCTCTGAGTGTTTTTCTCTAGCTTTCAACCATATCAGTTGAGTTTTCTCCGTCCTTTTGGCAACTTATATATCTCCATGATAACTGAGCAAACTTCCTGCTTCACTGATGAAGAACACGCCACTGAAAGAAACTGCATGGAGTATGTAAACAAATGACACATTTTTAGTTTGAGAGTGTCACTGTAACACAACAGAAAACTGTCTCTCTATTTATGACTGTTTCTCTCTGTCATGGCATTCAGGCAGGATTTCAACAGAACAGTAAACAGAAAGTCCCATCCCCACCATCAGATGGTGTGGGTTGACTCCATTTGTCTCAATTTGGTGCATAAGAAGTGACAAACTAACACTGAAGGTTCTAATAGACCGGTGAGTGAGCTTTTTAAGCAGAGCTATTGTGAAACCCAACACACATTATCTGGGTCATTACCATGCTGTGGATGGTTTTCTGGTTTCATGATCTAATCTCCTGAAATTTCAAACGGCTGTCTCTAGTTTCCATTTGCAGCTGCCAGTGTATGAAACTCAAGTTATTTAAAATGTGCTCTATTCAATCCGAAAAATAAAATTTATCTACCCCTCTCTCACCAGAGGCCCAGTCCAGTGCCCTGATGTTCGACTGCCTCTACTTGGAGCTTTCAGCCTCACTGGATCACGGCACCAGTGAGTTGTTGGAGGCTGCAGTTCGGACCGCAAGGGGAGACTGTGTGGGCCCCAGCTGGACCGAAGGTGACCCCGGCGCAGGGCGCAGAGAGAGCCTGACCAGCCGGGCCAAACGTTTCCTGGCGGGACTGGTACCGCGCTCGTATGGCCGAGACCGGGAACGGGGCCGCTACAGGGAGATGAGCCGCCACCGGAGTAGCAAGATCCTCCGTCAGAAGTCTCGCTCCTGCCATGACCTCAGTGCACTGTGACACACACACATTAGTGTACACACTGACAATGAGACACACTCCCACACATGTATAGACACACCTCATTGAAAGATATGGGGGGATGGAATAGAGTAGGGAGGAGCAGATGACTAAAGAAGGAGATGGAGGAGATTCACATGAAACTTAAATGAGTGGAAGGAAAGTGTACCATTGACAGATAAAGGTCAAGAGAGGAGAAAAGGAAGAGCAACAAGAAAAGTACAAATGAAATCAGCCTGGATCTCAGCACTGAACTTTTATCTTCACCCTATCAGTGAAGCCAAATTGAAAACATAAAGTCCAGGTCTGAGAGAAACAGATAAGGAGGTCAACTTGATTCACCACTCACACTTGGGTGAATCAGTGAGCACTCGTTACTTGATGAGAGAGAAAATCAGCAGCAGTGGAAAGAGTAACATCGCGATGCTGATTGGACACTTACTGTGGTGATTTGGAAGGCTAGGGAGCCACAAATAAACACACACCTAGATAGCTCTTACTGAGTATGTAGAGACTTGATAGCAATCTAATGTAAACCTGTTGTAGGCCCTGTTTTATAGCATGTAGAGTAAACGATTTAAGACAAGACTGTATGATTTACAGTGACATAATACTGGATTTACTGTACCTCAGTGGTCTATAGCTAATGCACAATCTACCTAGTCAAAGGCAAGACCCTTTATTTATGAAAATGCTCTCTGCACATTTTTTTAGCCATAATCTTCACACTCTACCCACCTTTTGTGCTCTGTACTGGCTTTAAAACTGATTTAATGATACCACCAATGGCGTCTGTTCATCTGGGATTTTTTTTTTATACAAAGCTAAAAACATCAGAACCCAAGCCATAAATTCAATGAATGCATCATGTGCGATCGGCACAAAGAACCCTTTACCATTAGATGTGGAGCGACAAAAGAAGTCCAAACTTTAAAGAATGTGTGATACTTTGGCGGGGATGATCAGACTGTTGAAGCCGAGTACAGGGATGTTCCTGAAGTGGAAGAAAACCTAATCTACCTGTGGCTGTTTGAGGTTTTTCATTTTTGTCTTTCTACCTACTGGCACTGTTATGTGTGTGTAGTCTTTCTGTGGGGGCTGGCCACCCAGGTGACCCAAAAGAGAACGTTCTGGAAACGTTGCTTGGATATCTCATCAAGTGTGGCGGCGTCACTATCACACACTCACTAATTTGTCACCGTCTACTGAGCAGTCTCATCTTTCCACTGAGAATAAATTAATTTTTGTTTGACATCCTCAATAAGTGTCTTGTCATTTCTTTTATATTAATGTCTTGAAATGAATGTATTATTACAGCTGTTGCTGAGGAATGGCGTGACAGCTCATCAGATGACTCACAGGTCCTAAAGACCGACTGTGAAATGGCCTCTCAGGACACTTTGCAGTTGTAACTAAATCTCAGAACAAAAATAGACTCTATCAGCGGATAATATGAACCAAGACCAGTGAACCGTCCTGTATATAGAGCACATTAATTTTGGGAAGAATCAAAATTAGTCTGTTTCATGATAAAGCATATCAAAAAATAATGTGTCTCCAACAGAGTCATACACTGACTCTTCAGTGGTTCCCAACTTCTTTTATCTTACTCGTGGCCCCTGCAGATGAACCCCTTCATGAACACCACCCCTCGTGTTTCAAATATGGTAATTTGAGGGCAGTGTATTGCTGACACCCTGATTTAACCAAGTATTTGCTCAGTTTGTCACAATTAGAAAGTTTTCTCATTTTTACAAGATCCTTTCACATAGAGATATATTTTTCAAGTTATTGTGACAGAGGAACTTTTCTTAATAACAATATATCCATTGATTCATTACTTTGCTATTTTGACTGTAACAGCTATAATAATTCTTTATACGAAATTTTTAGCTAACTATTTATACATTACATGTAGCTAACTATTTAAATTTTTTATTACTTCTATCACAGGGCTGACACTCACACTCACTCCAAAGGGAAATTTAGAGTCACCAGTCAACCTAAGCTGCATGGAACCATCTTACTGTGAGGCAACAGAGATAACCACTGCACTGCTGTGCCACCACATTCAGCATTATACCGTACATAATGTGATTGTGGATTCTACTAGCTTAGGTAAACCTGTTGAGCAAGGGAAATTTTCACAGTGCAAATACTGATACCCAGATCTATAACACCGAGACTGCCTCCCTCGCCCTCCTTGAAATCCAAGATGCCCTATACATTATGCACTAGTAGCTGAACAGAGTGCCCTATTACTGAAGGTTCCTGCCTCAACAAGACCTTTGGTTTCAGCCTAATAAATTGCAGATCACTGACAGTTAAATCCCTGCTGGTAAAATCACTGGATTCTCAAGCATAATCTTGATATGATTGGTTTATGTGAAACATGGCTTGAACCTTGTGTTATCCTCCCATTAAATGAATCCCCACCTGAGTATAGCCTACCTGTACCATCTCCATCTACTTCTTGTATCCAGAGCAACAGATTCCAACCATTTCACCTTGTGGAACTCTATAGACCTTACTCAAAATTTTTCTAAAAGTTTGGAGAATTCTTGTCTGACCTAGTTACTCATTCTAATAAGATTTTAATTATAGGTGACTTCAACATTCACCTGAATAAGGCCCGTCGGTAAAGCATTTCTCATTGATACTTATGGTTTCACCTAGTCTATGCGTGAACCTGTTCACTGCAGTGGTGACAACCTTGACCTGATTCTGTCACCCAGGACGATAGTTTTTGATTTGACTGTCTGTTTATAACTTATTTCAGGACACTTTCTCATCAAATTTGAAGTGACTCTGTCCTCTCAATATTATTTCAAAGGTATTTACAACTCAACACACTGACGCATCAGTGTTAAATCTTGGTGAGCGTTCAGTAGTGGAAATATCTGCCTAGTCTCCTGGATCCAGTTGTACCTCTCACTAACAAAACCAGATAGTCAGAGATCTATTCCCTGGTTTAGTGAAGAAATATGTGTCCTTAAACAAGCCTGCAGGAGACTGAAGTGCAAATGGTGAAAACTAAAACTGGGAAGCTGCTCTGTATGCTGTGACTTTCAGTTAACACATAGCTCTGATTATATGAGGCCTTGTATGTGTACATTGTTACCTCCATCCTGCATTCTCCTGATCATTGGCTGGCCAGGAACCTCGCTCTCTCTCTCTCTCTGTCCAGGCTGTCAGATGCTTTGATCTGGATCTTTGTCCTCCAATAGTCCCAGCCTCTTCTTTGTTTCTCTCCCTCCCTGTGTTCATGTTGTCCTTTTCTCTCTTGCTTACATGTTTGTTCCTTCCTCCTATATGTGTGAATTATGTGCTTTGGTTTTCCGTCTTGTGTGTTTGTATGGTCTGACCGCTTTCCAGTTCTTCATCTGGAGAGGTGGCGGTGTGACTTGGGGCTCTTTGACAGCACCTGGAAATTGTTCAGCCTCTCAGATCATGTTTGTCACATATGTTTACAACCTATAGCTTTTTAATTTTGACTGTCCATAGTGTACATCTACTATGTACACAACACACTTATGGCATACTGTATCCGTCCTTCCAGAAAGAGGGAGTCCTTCTCTGTTGCTCTTCCTGGGGTTTTGTCTTAACCCCCCCCAATTTGACCTGACTTAACTTGAAATAACTACAAAGACATCTCTGTCAATGCCTCCCCATCCCATCCCAGCCCCCACCCCACCCCTCTTTCTGCTCCAGCCTAGTTGTAGGGGGTGTAGAAAAAAGCCTGTGGTTAGAGAGCAAGAGCACAGTTCCGTACAACCGGTCACACCAGCAGGTTCTGCTGCTGGTACAATAACTATCTGGAGTGGAAACCTGGGAGGACTCTTAAGATGAAGGCAAACTAGCAACAAGACAGAGGGGGTGAGGAAAGAGAGAGCGAGTCAGAGAGAGATGGGGTTGGAGAAATGCTTTGAGGACTAATGGTTGCTTGGAGACAGTTGTCAAGGAGACGCTGAGTCCTAGAGTGCTTTGGCATCTCAAATGTCCTATATTTATGTTGATTTTAAGAAAGAGAAGGATTTTCATTTGTTTTTTACTTTTTTATCCAGTTGGTGAATAAGAGATACATGGTGATAAGCACAGAGATATGGTGAACTCTTTGAATCAAGACAGGCTAGATTTTAAACAGCATGTCTCGCTGACTAGAATCTGACACAAAAAGGATTTTATTATACCTAAAGAGGTCAAATAACTGTCAGATAATAGCATACATCTGACAGCTACACAGAAGGCTGCAGGAAATGGGAAAAAGGAAAGAAAACAAGGACAATATGGTTCCAATTCTTTTTGTGACACCCTATCAGTTTCTCAAATCGTGACAGAAATCCTCCCTCTCTCCGGCTTTCTGTTGCTGACTCATTTTGTGGGCATCTACTGTGATTTTTGGGCAAAAGAATACTTCACAAGAGCAGGGAAGACAGAAGGAGCTTAAAAGACGAAAAAACACCTACTGTGTCAATGAAAGCCTGTCGAACTTACTCCTCACTTTGTACCAAAGAAAGGCTATTTTCAGTGAGCGTGTGCATATCTAATGAGATTTTCCAGAGCTGTGGGCATAGGCATGTTAGCTAGGAGGTAATATTAGAATGGTCTATGCAAAGTGTAAATGAGGATGTGCTGTAGAGGTTGCAGTAATGGCTACACACTCATGTGGTCAGACACTGAGTGGCACTGATGTAAGCTTTGCTGAGTCCTCGGGGAATCCATGCAAGCTGTTTTCAAGAAGCAGTGGCTCATTGTAGCGCAAAAATGGTCATTTTCTCTTTGCTTTGACTCCAGAAAGCCGATTATACACGCACAGAGCTATAATCACCAAACAACAGAAGAAACCCAGAATGAGCCAGACCAGTCTCATTTGAATATCACGCTGGTAATGAGGCACATGTAATTAAAACTGGTTTGGCCAAAGCAAGAAAACCACATTGGACCATCAGGCCAAATGACTGTAATAGTGGTTTAAAAGAAGAAGGCACAAAAATCTACCTCATTATGAGCTGAATTCCTCATGCAATGCTCCCCATACTTCCAATAATGTGGATTAATAGTAGGCCAGACTGTGACAGTAAAGTCAGGTGTTCTATAAGATATGGCCAGACTGTAAATGATGCTTTTATTAGATTCATACTGTTCTCCACATCAGCCCACATGAGTGCAAAAGGGAATTTATTGGATCATGTCTAGCGCATCAGTAGTGTCTTTAATCTGGACAGGAACAGTAGTGTTAAGTGTTTTCAATTTTTCTGCCTCAGATCTGGAAAATTTTGGACAGGGTGACCAGGCTGGGGCACGGACTCAGAAAGGGGTGGCACATTTGAAATATATGTAAAAAGATAATTACTTCCCAGGTCTATGAAATAATAAACCATTCATTATTATGAGTCAGGTTTATTTGTGTAAAAATGAGACACACAGTGCTTTCCTTACTTAACTTTGGCCGCGCTCCTTATTTACTCCTGGTTGGGGACACTTGCTACACAGTGGTTTGTCCCCACTGAGGCGAATCATGCCAAGTACTCTGCAATAACACAATCAGTGAACTGAATGCAAATATCATGCTGCATACATGATATAAAATAAAACTGGGGAAGCTTGAGCTTGTGCGCTCAGAGTAAAGGAGGGTGTGCTCAACTGCTCAAGACGTATATTAAGTAACAAAAATAAGCAAGCAAAATGGTTGCAAAAAAACAGGAGCTCTAATGATGGTCTGCAGTGCAGACTTTATTCCAAACTGTAAGCTGAAGTTTCAGCAACAATGTGCCTTTCTCAGAGCTTAAACTACAGCTTAGGTACTGCCATTGTTCTTTGATATGTGCCTGTTGATGCTATCTTTACTCATTACGATCTGTATGTTTCCAGTTGTGTGTGTGTGTCATTACCGCTCCTGTTTTGTTTGAAAGAATTTTGCTTGCACATTTTTTTAGGATAAAATAACACTAATTTGACCCATATTGATTATAAAGTGCCATTTCTATTTAAGGCAGCAATTTATAATTGTTTTTCATTTTCATTCATTAATACTGACAAGCATCACATTTTGTCTCTGGCAGGGGTGGCACCAGGAATGACCAATCAGATTCTCAGGGTGGCCCGGGCCACCCCTGGCCACCCTCCAGATCCGCCCATGCATGCCTCAGCCCTGATTATTTTGCCTAAAGATCTTGAGTTAATATGAATGTCTATAGTTGGTAAGGTGATTTAAAAGGTTGTAAAAAGGTACTAAAATTAGGGATCTTCATCTGACATATAGGGACACTATCACTTCATTATAGAAAAGTGCATGCTGGCTTTCTGCTCAAACCAAACAGTAAATTAATTGACAGTGTATTTATTACCTAGGGATATGGTGCTCTTTGTTGTTGTTCCCACACTGATACATGCCGTCTTGCAGCATGACTTCTTGGACCTGTGCTTCCTCTCCACTGAGAAGCATCTGTTAAGATAAAGGCCTTCATTCCTCAAATCAATTTATTATGTTTGTTCTCCTCTGAGACTAAGCTGTGTCTCCAACAAGTCTGCTGCGAAAGGAGCAAACTGGTGAGGCATAATGATTTCAGTCTGAATTCGTTTGTGTTTCTGTTAAGGAATCATAAAGAAGCATTAAAAGGAACAGAAAAATCAATTAGATCATTTTCAGGCTTAATGAAATCTGGAGTCTTGCGTTAGATGCACATTTTCTCCCCAAATACCTTAACCTCTAGAGTCCCTGCGTCCTCATATGAGGACCGCACAGCTTGGGTTTCCAAAGCTCAGGACTCTAGAGGTTAAATCTACCAAATAGTTTTTATATTTAACACAGTGTGTATGTATATACTATATTATTCCAGTTGCTGATAGTTATTCAGCAAATCCAATTCAGTTATTCAATAATTCTAATGGGAAAAATAAAATAAAAAAGAAGAATAATAGGATCACCAGCTTTGTGCATTTGGGTCAGAGATTCAGACAGTTTCCTAATTGACTTCATGTTCACACATTTAAGCTTGTGTTGCTCTACTTTTTTAATACCCTGGACCATGGGGAAAACAAGAATCAGAGGATAAATGCTACACTAGCAGCCCCTGGAGTCAATATTGTTTCATGCACCTAATAGCACCAAATGGTTTGAACTGACTACTAAGAGATGAAATTCCATCCTTTAGGTCCTACACTGCCAGTAAACAGGCCCCGAACAGCTAAAAACACAAACACACACAAATGAGAACAAATTACCATTTTAATTTTTATCAAATTACGTAGCAAATAACAATAAAAGATTATAGAAATATGTTGCTTTCATTCAAGAATGTCACTGAAAATCTTCCGCTTCCTGGACTCGCCGGTCTGTATTTCCTGCCAGTGGGCTCTTCTATGTACAAAGTGGGAGAGAGCAAATTTGGCCCACACGTGGCGAGCAAACTGATCAGACCTCAGCTGGCTCTCACTTGCAACTAGAAAGGAAGGAGATGCAGGAAACAAAGTCATGAAACAGAGGAAATGTGTCATTCTGAACAAAAGTGAGTGAAAGCTCCTTTTTATATTACCTAGTTCCTGTGCAATGCTTTGCCTCTGACTGACTGAGGCACTGTTCCATATGGCTTCCAACACCCGACTGCCTAATCGGGAGCAGGCCATTTGAACATATTGACCCTGGGAGGGAAAATGGCGAGATGAAGAACAAGCTTGATGCCACAGGTCAATTTAAAACAAACAAACAAACAAACAAAAAAAACAACAGGAAGTAGCCTGGGTGTTTTACAATGTGCAGTCATACCACACACGGACAATAAAGTCGACAAGCAAACCAAGCACTTCCTAAAAACATATTCAACTCCCTGAATTAAACTGGTTATTTGTGCTTTTTGGTCTATAAAATGTCAAAAAAAAACAAAACCCAGTGAAGTCTAAAATCCAAAGTGATATCTTGAAATTGCTTGTTTTCTCTGACCAACAGCACAAAGACATTAACTTTATTACCACGACAAAGAAAAGCAGGAAGTCTGAGAAGTGAGAAGTTGGACCAGAGCATGTTTTGCTTGAACAATTACTTAAAGTAGTAATCAGTCATTTAGACATTTGTTAATTGTTTTGTTTTCGTGAACTTATCATTTGCCTACTCATTTCAGTTCTAATTCTATCAATGCTTATGGATTTGTACCTCCAGTCTCTTGAGGATCTTGCCCCTGCCCTTGTTGCTGGATGTGGTGATGAGGGCCTGGAGGACGTGGCTCCCCGCAGGGTCAGAAGCCAGCGTCAGGAGGTCAGCGGGGCTCAGAGTGCGCAGGCTGCTGAGGAGGACAGAGTGCTCCTTGAACCTGGCCAGTGCCTGGACCAGCCGGGAGCCATGGTAACAGATGGAGGACAGCGGGACCTAAAAATGATTGAGAAAACCACAGCTATACCCCACTGCTCCTTCAGGAATGACCCAACATCACTATACTTTATGGTGCAGCTTTGTGCTTCTAATTCAGTTAAAATATTAAGATTACAATTCAAATCAAATCCCAAAAGATTTGACTTCACTCAGCTGTTCACCTCTGTCTGCGTGTCGCCCTCTGCTGTGTCAGAGTGGTAGTACACCTCAAAGGCGAGCAGGGACATGAAGAGAGGGAGGCAGCTCATTTGTCGGGAACCAGGCTTAGCGCAGTGGAACGCCTGGGAGGCAACACATCGGCAGGGTTTCCATTATCCATAAATCAAACATTAAGTACTTTTACAGTGTTATTTCAATCTCAGTCATAAAGAAGGACAAATAACTAGCAACAAGGGTATTGTTATATTGATTTAAGACTAATGTGGACGTTTAGAACTCAATAACAAACTTGCGCTGAGGCTTACATGCAGGAGGCACTGCATCAACTCCTCCTGTCTCTCTCCACTTTCTGCACAGCTCTCTGCCAGTTGGACAACCACCCCCATGTGACCTGCAGCCAAAATAGCCTCCACACCTTGGACCAGCTCATCAAATAACCTCAGAAACTGTGGAGAAAGAAATAGGATGAGGAAGCTGTGAATAAAATTCACCTACCCCTGCAAAACCATTGCTCCCATCTGCTCAGCCAGATGGCATGCCCTACCAGTTTATATTTGGCCAAGGCAGCAGTCAGCCTCTGTATGGGGAAGTTGGCGATTGGGTGGAGGGCTAAGTCAACCAGGTGACCTCTGAGATGGTTCTTGTACAGGTTGCAGAGGAGGGGCTTGTGGGATAGCTGTATGATCATCTCAATAAGGTGACTGGAGGCCTGGTCCTTTAGAAAGACCAGAAGGGGACTACAGGGGAACACAAAAACAATACTCTCCTTTACATTTTGCATCAGTTCTATTTTTTTTTTAATTTGTTATAATTCAAGATTTGTCTCGAACCTAAGTCCTGGAGCAGCGCCACGACTTGTTAGATACTCCATGATGCCTTTGAGGAGTTGTTTGCAGAGCTTGGGCCGCTTTCTGTGACACACAGTCAACATGGTCTGGAACACTGCACTGGCAGCAGCATCTGTCACACTCACTGGAGAGGAAAGAGACAGGAAGGGATAGAAGTCAGAAAAGAACTATACAAAGCATGAACAGCAACAGCATCAAATTAAGACTATTTGGGTCTATGCATACATGTTGTCTGTTTACACTCTGCCCACTTCCTTATAACACCCAAAAAAGATAAAGATATAGGTATATTTTAGACTAACAAAAACCAGTACAGATGGTTCCCTTTGCTTTGCTATATTAACACTTTTCCGCTGTGATAAATAAGGCCGTAAGACAAGTCTTGTTTGTTCAGATAACAACCAGGACGGGCACACATATGCTAGAGTTTGATGACTCACAGTTAACATTCTCCATCAAGGTCTCTGTAAGGCTTTTCAGCTCGTACCAAAATGATGTGGGAATCTCAAAGTCTGTCAGCTGAGGAGCAACACTGCGCTCTTTTGCACCTGAAAACCAAACAAACCAAAACCAAAAACTATCAAAAGAGAAAAGATGTCTGCACACTGGCTTAAAGCACACATGCTTCTGATGATAATAAAAGTCTTGTTTTCTTTCCGTCTTGCTTAAGGAAAACAAAAAGTAGAGACCAAGGTGAAAAATCTCAGGGGTGAAAAACTCTCAAGACAGTTCTCTGTCAGCCTGGTAAGGGTCGAGCGGTACCAACGTTGCCAGGCACACGGCAATGCAGGATCACAGACGTTCAAGCAAGAAGAGCTTGAAGTGTTAGGGTTTGCAAACTGTGACAACACACCTCACCAGAGGGAGAGTTAAAGGCAAAGTGAAAGAGACAGGTGCATTGTCAGTGAGGCCAAAATAAAAGGAAGGTAGGTAATGTAGTCTGGTGTGCTGCTTTGGCCTGTTTATTAGCACACTATGCAGCTGGACACACAACTCATGGAAGCAACAGCACTTGATTGCTGCAATCTGAACACAAACATATTTTTAGATTCAGTGCAAGTTACAATGTTCAGGGACAAAATAATCTCCGTGTTCTTCTCAAATAAACACGGTAGCTAATTCGACATATTTTGAAGGGCATGCAAACAAACACAGGCTAAGAAAAACAAGCTGCAGCCTAAAACTGGCTGACTCCATGGTAACATCAGACTTCCTGTTTATATCCTCCACACCATCATAAGAACTGGGGATTCAAAATGTAGGCCATGAGTATCCAGCAAACAGAAAGAAGGCAACATAAGTTGTCATGTAAAATATTTTTTTGACATTATGGAAACTCAGAATTGTTTAAGTGGGGCGCACAGTGTCACACTGAAAATTTAATTAGTCCAGGCTGTGTGTGTGTGTGTGTGTGTGTGTGTGTGTACCTGGATGAGCCTTGGTGCGTGGTGGTCCAAGACAGCCTGCCAACACATTTAAGAGTGTGCGGACCACATGGGAGCCGTGAGCGTGTTTGATGAACTCTGCAATGTTGTCTCTGACAACCTGACTTAAAGACAACACCTGGGCCTCCAGCACTCCACAGCTCTCCTCCTCATCTTCTTCTCTGGTTGCAGATGGCTCATTCTGTGACAACTCTAAAGAGAACGGCAGAGCTGAGGTGCTGCCAGTGGTTTGTATGATCTCACTAATTTACCATAAAATGCTGCATATAGTAACGAGCAGTTTAGAAATCTGTCACTATGGAATGAAACATCTGATCTTACCCATCCACCTGGACGCCTGCCTGACTGCGGTCTCCACTACATGGCCACCACACCGGTCACAAGAAACTGTCTTAAACTCTGAGCCGGAGTTTCCACCCAATTCAGCCAGCACCTCCCCCACCTCAGTGGAAGCAGCTGCTGCAGAGTGATGCTTCCGGTCTGGTCCGTCGCCACCAGGGTCGCTTTGCCTTTCACTTCTGAGAGGACATTCTCCACAAACATCTCTACAGGAGATATTCAGAAAGACAAAGGTGTTGACAAAGATGAGAAATGTGGACGGTGGTGATGGTGGTTGGAGCTGGGCAGACGGAGGCAGCAAAGCCTGCTTGTTATATTACAGTAAAATGATGCAATAGCCTCATCAAATCACTGTGCGTTCAATACAATAGCAAGACGTCTGCAACATCTTAAGGTCTCCAGCAATGCAAGGCAAGGTTACATCCGACTCTGTGCATTACTGAACAAGATAGCTTAGTAGACTGGAACTGTCAATTGTCAGTGGACAAGCACAGAAAGCACTGAGCTAAAGATGGTAAGTAGGGTACTATATGAAAAAGCTGAGTCAATTCAATGAGTGGGGAATCCACAGAAGATCAATCATGAACTATTTTGATAATCGATTAATCACCTCAGTCATTTTTCAAGCAAATACTGTACAGCTCATTTTCTGGTTCCACTTTCTCAAATACAAGACCTTGAAGATCCTTTCTAAACCACTTGCCTAGGGGTTCCGACAGATGGTTGATCGGTTAAAATAAGCTATTTGAATGTTATAATAATGACACTTTGAGCTCTTGGTAAGTAAAATGAAATTCTGTCACCATTTTAGGACAACATTAGGCAAAGCGATGTATCTATTAATTTACTAAATAATTAGGTGATTATCTCATTTTGAAAATAGCCGTTAGTTGCAGCCACGCCCTGAAGTGTACCCAAGTTCTGAATCTGATGCCACAATAATACATTTCTGATAACTCATTCTGAAGCATGTCAACCGTCTGATTACAAATATTTCTATTATTGATTATTTTATCAATAAATCATTTTGGTTATAAAATATCAGAAAATAGTGAAAACAGTCCAATTTCCCAGAGCCCGAGGTGACATGTTCACACACACTGCTTGTGTTGCCAAACCAACAGTTCTAAACATAAAGAGTTTCAAATTACTGTGATAAAAGGAAACAATCCTCATATTTACAAATCTAGATGTTTGGCAAACTTGCTTATAAAACTCCAACAGTAAATCAATTATCAAAGTTATTTTCCGCAGATCAGGAGATTAGCTGTTTCAGCTCTGAGTTGTAGTTCCAATGTAATAAAAACATTACCCAGAAAACCTTCCAACTCAACAGATACAACAACACCGTATATAATGTGGCCCTAACACATTGATTTTGTTCTCATACGGTGTTGAACTAGTGCAATATAAGGCACCCTGCTACTGAACATTTCCTACTTTATCACAGCCTCCAGTTTGCTGCTTGCTCACACATCCAGAAAAAGCACCACTCTCACCTCTTTCCTCATTATCTTCAAAGCCTTCACTGAGTCTTTCCCCAACTCTGCGGAAATAGCCCACACTCAGAGCATCCAGGCGCTTCTTGCCACCATCTCTGCAGCCCTTTCCTCCTTCTTCACCTCCCCTCTTCTTTCTTTCTCCTTCTTCCCCATCATCACCAGGATGTTTCCTCTTCTTTCCTCCCCCACCTTTCTTTGACTTCCTTTCCTCCACTTTTGACAACATAGCTCAGACGTCACAACATGCAGGTTATCAGAAGAACGTCTGGATCTCGTTGAAGAGGTTGTCTGACGTAATCTTCTGTCTGAAATAGGAAACAGACTACAGGATACTGACGTATCATATCATAATGATCTGGTGGTTAATTTCACATCCACCTGATTTGCCAAATTATTAGACTGTTAAGTGGTACCAGTAAATCTGAAATATATGTTACTGATTATGTTAAACATGTTGGCCACACCCTTTTTATAACAATGTAAATGTAAGAAGAGCTTTTACACTTGCTGATCTTTCATGATCTCTCAATCAATATTTAAAATAGTCATAATTTCATGCATCTTTATAAATTACTGTAATGTCACCCAATACAGACAGAAAATGAGACCCTTACTCTTGGGTTATAGGATTCATTGGCTCATTAAACTGCATACATTAGTCCATATATAAGATGCTGAGAACAGCATTTGATGTCTGTTGGATTAGAACAAATTTACATCTGTGATTAATATAATTTAGGGTAAACATTAGACCCCAAAGCTCAGGAGTAGGCAGACTCAGTTAACAGGTTAGGGTCTGGGTGAAATTTACGTCCAGGTTAAGGTAAGGGGAAACAGGTTCCACTCCTGTGTCTTGGAACCAAACGTTAGCCTATATTTTAGATCTGCAAATCCCCTTTAACTGCCTGATCAACGATTGGGGAAACAAGATATTTAAGTGTTTGATAACAGCAATGATTGCCGAATTTAAATCAGGTTAGAAATGTTTTAGATAATGTCATAAGTCGTATTTTACGGGTTCGATAGGGTTGCCGATAACCGGCGACAAATTAATTTCACATATTATTCAATAGGAGTTGGGCTAAAGACGACCGAGAGAGAAGTCGATGATAACTCGCTGCACGAGAGCTGTAACAAAAACATGCATATTTATCAACAGGTGGGATTTTAAACTAATTGTTAAGAGCTATCTAATAAGACGTTTAGTTTAAGCCGTGCACGATAAAGTGATATATATATATATACAGAATTTACGAAAAGCAGCACAATACAGTTTAACTCACGTGTGAAATATTTTGTTGACGCGTTGTGATGACGTAGTAGGGCTGTTGACATAGCCGTAACCATACTGCCCTCTGGTGGTTGCCAATGTTGTGACTTTCTACTTAATATAGACATGTTTTTAGCTGGTAAGCAACTTTCCCCCCCATTCCTTAGAAATAAACAAATACTACCCTCTTACCTCCTTAATATATCAGTTTGAATACTCATGAGCCTACCTATGTTATTCTTTATCAGCTAACCTACCACAGAACTCAGTTATACCTTTTTCTTCTACAATGAAAAGCTACATTATGATGCTACTAAATCTTAATAAAAAAAAAACTGCCAAGCAGCCAGGATATAAATATGTGCAACCTCTTTTTATTACAAATACCAGTAAGTTATAAAACATTACTGACATCAATTTAACTTCTACTTCTTCTACTACTACTACTTTTTTTAAATAAATGTTTTTATTAAACAACAATGCAGATCCATACAACATTTTTCAGCACAAATTGTTGCAACAGATGTATAACTATGCATTTAGAGCACAACAGGACAAAAGTAGGCATATAATAAGAAGGTGAAAAAGAATAACAGCACCAAACAAGTGAGAACAAAGAAAAGAAAATACAAAGAGGTAAAGCTATTCTGGTATAAAATTAAAACGTTTGAGCATGTCAATGGTTTTGGTTCGTTTTTGTTAGGGTGGTTTAATTGTGACAGTGTTTGGAAGTAATTGTTGAGATCAGATTGTTTAAAAGTTGAAAATTTCATTTTATGGTTGAAGAATTTGGCCAAAATAATGAGCGGATTAATAACAAATTTTTCATTGCTAGAGAAATGGGGACTACTACTACTACTACTACTTCTTCTTCGCCATCACCATTACCTCATTTTGGTCCACTTGGGGGCAGTGAAAACAAGCTGGAAGTTGTCATCTTTTACTGTAAGTTGGCATGGTGAGCTTATTAATAAGTAGTCAGGTATTTCCACATTCAGAAGATATGGAGCAACATCATCATTCATTGGAAGTAGTGTTTCTATTTACCCGAATGCACCGCCAACGACAGCAGTGAAAGTGGACCAGGAGCCTCATTAATAGTCGTTGCATATGCTTCACAAATAGCCCACCGAGCTGTGAGTTTCGGTGTTTTCACGTATCTGCTGGCTGGTCTATAGTGTGATGGTGTGCAGCAAAGTGCTTAAAACATTTACCTCCATGTTTGACCATTTAATTTAATAAATGTCCTGTGTGTTTCACCAGCAGCCATTATCCTCTCAGGCTGTTTGTTTGTTACGCTGAATCCATTCTCCAAGGAGCATGGAGCCTATATCTACTCATGGGGGATTTTCATTGCCCTTATAGGGTTAATTATGGAGACTTTTGCGCTATGGGATGCTCGTGAATTATACTGTATTTGTGTGGAGCTGTGTATGCACACGGCTTTATACATCTGATCAGATTGTAAACTATTGGCATGCCTCCTACAGTATGCACAGGTTTTAAATGGGGTCCTGCAACAGTAGAGTTGGATGTCAGAAAACCGAAGTAATTAGCTGAAGGACCCTACAATTCTCTGTGGGTTGATCAAATTATTGATTATAGCTGCTTTAAAGACAGTACTCCATAAATGACTTGATAATGAATATCGCTGGCTGCGCTGGTGTTAAGAAAACACCTATCCCATCTGTGTATCGTGCATTTTACCATCAAATTCTCACCCTCTCATCTTTTTCTCCACCCTCCCTCACCCCCAGGGTACATTGTCCCTCTTCACCAATAAGAAAGGTGGGATTATTGATGACTTTATAGTGACAAAGACAGACCATGGGTACCTGTACCTTGTCTCCAATGCCAGCTGTGCTGACAAGGACTCGGCTCATGAAGGTGGGTGAATATAGACAGAGTGTGTGTGAGGTGAAGAGTCAGGCAGGCTGATGTGTGTGTTCTGCTTGTAGGCCAGGCTGGCAGAGTTATTGCTTTGAAGCAGCCGTCAATTGAAACTCCACATTTTCAAAACAGTTAACACACTTGCTTAAACAGTGTCACTGATGGCAAAATGACACATTTTATTTGCAAAAGGCTCTAACCATGCCAAAACATTTAAAAGATGCAACAAAAGCAAATTTTGCCTTCAAACAACACAACTTGCAAACAAGTATATGAGCTCTTTCAGTCAGTCATTACACAATGGACAACAAAATACAAAATACACAACTCAGTGTGAATCAGTGCACCATTGCTTGTCATTGTAGCCTATAGCCAGTGCCATTTGTCTTTCTATATAGGCTGTGTCAAATTAGCCTTTTTGCAAAGATCACTGCTTCTCTGATTTCACGCAGCCTTATGGCATTGTTTGGCACAACCATGTTTACAATGGTCGCCTCCTGCTCAGCACTAAAACTTGTCCCTCGACCACCAGAGAATGGTAGCCTTTGGATTCTATAAAGAATGGATGTAATGGGAATGAGGAAACACATGAAGTATATCACTGAAGATATTTCTCTATCTAATGTACAGCAACATTACCTGTTCTCCTGTCGAAAAATTCTGACAATGGAAGCAACAGTGTTTCTGTCTGTCCAGCCTCTCTAAGAGAAAGGCCATGATTGATAACGTGATCAATAATAGTTGCCTGAATTTCATCTGAAACTTGAGCCCTTCCAACTACACCTCCACCTCGCACACGGACTCCTCTTCCTTGGACCCCTCTACCTCTTACTCTCACTCTCATCTGCCTTAGACCTCCATCCATGCTGGCAAAGAACAACAAGAACCTGACAATTTTCAATGATGTTTAAATCAGGGGACTGTGATGGCCATTCCAAAACCTTCAGCCTGCGTCTCTTGAGGTATTCCATAGTGGATTTCGAGGTATGTTTAGGATCATTGTCCTGTTGTAGAAGCCATCCTCTTTTCAGCTTCAGCTTTTTTACAGATGGTGTGATGTTTGCTTCCAGAATTTGCTGGTATTTAGTGGAATCCATTCTTCCCTCCACCCGTGCAATGTTTCCTGTGCCACTGGCTGCAACACAACCCCAGAGCATGATAGATCCACCCCCATGCTTAATAGTTGGCAAGGTGTTCTTTTCATGAAATGCTGCTCCTTTTTTTCTCCAAACATGCCTTTGCTGATTGTGTCCAAAGAGTTCTATTTTAACTTCATCAGTCCACAGCACTTGTTTCCAAAACGCATCGGGCTTCTGTAGATGTCCTGTTGCATACTTCAGACGTTGGATTTTATGATGGGGACGCAGATAAGGTTTTCTTCTGCTGACTCTTCCATGAAGGCCTTGTCTGTGCAAGCATCGCTGCACAGTGGAACGGTGCACCACCACTCCTGAGTCTGCTAAATCTTCCTGCAGGTTTTTTGCAGTCAAATGGGGGTTTTGATTTGTCTTTCTGACCAGCATACGAGCAGTTCTGTCCGAGAGTTTTCTTGGTCTTCCAGATCTCATCTTGACCTCCACAGTTCCCCTGATCTGCCATCTCTTATTTACATTTCTTACTGTGGAAACTGCAAGCTGACAACGCTTTGCTATCTTCTTGTAGCCTTCTCCTGCATTGTGGGCGTCAATAACTTTCATTTTCAGGGTCTTACACAGCTGCTTAGAGGAACCCATGGTTGCTGGGTGTCCACAAGTGTGTGCACAAGGTTTGAAGAGTCAAAGTATTTGTACAGCTTTGAAATTGGCATTTACCAATGACAGCTGTTGCTGTGCATCAGATCTAACGAGCTGATTAAGGTCTGATACCTTGTGAGAGACTTTGAGACTCTGGAACTCTTAGGGTGCCCAAACTTTTGCACCATGCCATAATAATGTTTTTATTTTTTATTTTTGTTCAATTTATGGCATAAGAAGTAACTATGCATCACTGTTTGCAGAAAATATTGTGCATTTTTTCCATTTCCAAGAGAAACTGTGTTAACATCTGTTCAAATAAAAAATCACCAAAATCTGTTATTTATCAAGGGGTGCCTAAACTTTTGCATAAGACTGTATGTGTCTTCTGCTCTGTAGGGTTAGTGATGATGAAAACTGAGTGGGTCCTAGTTTCTTTAAACAGGTCAAAGCAATCAAGAAAAACTGTAAGAGCTGCAGGTGTTGATGTGGATCTGGCATTCCTTGATGAAGCGCTGATTGCTGTGCAAGGTAAAATATTCTGTGGGACTTCCTTTTTCTTTTTTCCTCTCCTCTTTCATATCTACTTTTTTCTTTTTGTCTCTCACTGTTTCCTTTTTTACTCTGTCATCCCATCCTTCTTTATCTTCTGACTTTCTTTCTTCAATTCTTTTTACTCTCTAGCTCTTCTTTTCCTTGATTTCTTTCTTCTGGTCCTCAGCTGGTTTCTTTGTTTTTCTTTTTGTCCTTGTCAGAATTTCTCCAACTGCTCCATGTTTATGTTGTCAGGACCAACCATGTCACGTGTGCTCCGGGAGGATGATCTTAGTAAGCTAACCTTCATGACCTCCACCCTGGCTATTGTGGTTGGTGTCCCTGGCTGCAGGGTCACACGCTGTGGATACACTGGAGAGGACAGGGTGAAGGTGAGCATCTCTTTTTCTTCCTTTTCTTTTTTTGACATAGACTTGAGGAAAGATAAAAGTAAATTTTAAGTCATTAATTAAAGACATTTTACAATGAACACATTATCTGAGGACGTTTCCTCAGGCTTTTCTAAAACCATGATGAATAAGTCTCATTCATCATGTCTGTCAACTGCAGACCATGGCCACAGAAACTACATATTTCTGACTGAGTGGCAGGTGTTTGTTAAAATAATAAAACATGACACCTCCAGTCAACAGTTAAGTTCTAACAGCACTTATCTTTATTTGGACTTATTTGTCAAGCACACGATTGTCACTTAAATGTTACAGATACTGTACACATGGATAAATGTAGAGGCCACTCAGAGTCTCTATCATGAGGTCCAAAGACCTGACAGAGTAGGATGAGGGTGGCTGAGAGGGTCAAGCTCTATTTATTTCAGTAATTCAATGGTGTATATATTAATGCAAGTTATATTTCCCTATACTAAAGCCCCTGTCTGTGTAACCTTTATGTATGGCAGCATATTGCTGCCA